CCAGTGCTGCCACTGCTTGCTTGAGACATAGCAGCAAAATTGTCAGGACAAGAAGCTCCTAATGCAGAGGATAGAACTGTAAGCAAATCCGTTGTGGATGTGTTTCCGTTTAATTTGCTTGGATCTTCAAAAGAAGATTGATCTGGTACTTGTGAAATATTTAAATCAAAACCTCCAGGTACTGCTGACCTTGAAGCAGAGTTTGCAGCACGCAAAGAGTGGATTCTACCAAGTATGTGGTTTACTTGATCTTTATCAGGTATTTGGTGGGCACCAGCTACTTTAGCTCCTCCTGCTCCATTACCTATTATTAATACAGTGCCATACGTGAGGATAATAATATGACAAATGCAGATATTGTAACTATGCCTTTAAAGGCAGTTTACCTTGCATTCGAGCAAAGATGGTTAACAACTTGACAATATCCAAATTGTTGGTGTCACTGCTCCCTTGATTTACATGAGATAACTGCGTTGATGCTTCCTCTGGATGGGTCTTCCTTCTTCGTCTGTTGTGACCAGCAAGCCTACGTCTGCAACTCCTCTTCCCCTCGTCAAACTCTGAAAGGAGGTGAAATCTGAATAGACAAAAAAAATCCCTTATAAATAACATAAGAAGCGGTAAGTTTTTCCCTCATCGAACTCTAAAAGGAGGTGAACTCTGAGTAGACAAAAAAAAGCCCTTATAAATCTGAAAACAACATGAGCAGCATTAATTTTTCAATGGATTAAAATTAAACAAAAGATACATGATGCTCACTGTCACAAGGGCACCATTGATCAGCAATATTTCTTTATGGAAAACATAAGCATACATTTGAGACAAGAGCAGATGCAATACAGAAGCTCTAGTCCCATACATATATACCACGATAAAATGAAGGAGAAGACTTATAAGTTATCTAACAAGGTAAAGTCATCAGAAGGAAAAAGTCACTAAATTTCTGGTTACCTCTGTTCAGTTTGAAGTTTTTGATAACCCATAATCAAATAGATAAGAACTTGACTAGCCTAAATCTCTTGGCTTCATATAAATCTGAATAGCCCACTAATGTAATGAGAATAAAATTTGAGGTTTCCACAGCCCATAACCGAAAGATAAGAACTTCATTAAAAGCATGCAGCTACATATTAAGGGATGGGATCGATTGAACACATCAAAATTTCAATTTTCAAGGTAACCTGCAAAATTAAGGTATAGTGTGAATTCAGTGGAAACTACCTTACAGAAGCAATAGTATCACCTAACTATTCTGACATGGGGTGAAGTTTTAGTCTAACATCTACAATTAGAAACATAATGAATAATATTTAGTAACAGGATGATTTGAATACGTTTTGGTTATCTATTTAATACCCAAGAGGAGAAAAGTTAGAACGAGAGGAAACAAAGGGGGAATCAAAAGACATGAACAAGCATCCCTTCTAATTGACAGGCAGGATACTAAATCAGATAAGAGCAAATCTTATATTCTCAAGAGACACTGCAAAAGATGGCTACACATACTTTAGCAGATACAACTAGAAATAATGTGTTAACCACTTTAATATTTAAATAATAATAGGACCATCCAGGGTATAAAATTGCTATCATCCATAACTAGTAAGCCTACACAAAGATTGAATTTAACAAAAATCAAGATACCTGCTGCATTGTTGGCAGAACCTCTGCATTTGATTGCCCACCAGTGCCTTAGTCATCTTACTATGAACCTCACACACCTTGTGCCTTCTATGATAATCCTTCGCGCTCGATAAATCTGTCTTACAATCATCAACCTGGCACATTGGATAATTACCGCCACCTGTGTTGCCCGGAGACCCAGATCGAACCTTTTTACTTGGCCTGACTGCTGCTTGATCCTCCTTAACCACTAAAGCTCCACCTCCACCAAGTTTCAAACTCAAATTTTCACCCCCTTCTTCAAAACTCTTTTTCATAATTGAATCCTGTGAGATCTGCACCTCGTTTGAAGACTGTCTCACTGAGAAACTCACGCTGTCCCAACTGAAAAGGTTGGGATTCCAATTGGCAGTAGAAGTTGGAAGCAAATTAGCATTTTGGCATGCCACATCTCGCTTCCTATGAACTGGTGGGGATTCACGAAATAGGGAAGGGAGTGACTGCTGCATGACAATAGGAGGGGCAATTTGCGTGCTAATTTCTCCTTCCATCTCTTTCACAAAGAGAGATTATACTTATCAAAATCCTACCTTTTTCTCAGATTATCAAAATCTCCTGATGCCCCTAGTAGCAACCCCAGCATAAACTATAAATTAAGTCCCCAATCCAAGAGTAACCTCTTGAAGTTTATCCGCTAAAAGAACGCCAAATATCTGCGGAAGCCAGGCTCAAAACACACCTTTTTCCAGAATTTCAATTCTCCAATGTCCCTAGCGGGTAATTTCAACAGGGATTTTTAATTTTCTTCTCTAAAATCTTAATATCTCCAAATTCTGCTCAAAAAGTTAACTTTTGTAGCGTTCTGAATCTTCAACGCAGACGACAGCAAAATCCAACTAACCAGACCGTTGAAGCAACAAACTACGGCCAATAACACAACTCAGTTCGAGCTCTCTCCGCCATTTTTCTCAGAAGATTCAATTAAATTTCTCAAAGCGAAAACCTAAATCTTCCCAAAAATCTAAGCCGCCTTCTAGTTAGCGCATAATTTAAATAGGGATTTCCATTTCTCAGTCCAAGCCCTAAATCTCTCCGAAATTTCCAACAAAAACCCAACTTTTTATAGGGTTCTCGATCCTCAGCCTCCTCCGAGATTGATTCCAGGAAAAATCCAACTGTCAAATTACGGCCAATAACATAACCCAATTGCAGCTCCCTTCACCATTCTCGTTCAAGATTCACTCAGAACTCACAGCAAATTTAAAAAACTTAAATTTTCCCACAACTCCCAAACAACCACTGCCTAACGCATGATTTCAGTAGAAAAATCCATTTTTTCAACCAAAACCCCAAATCTGTCAAACTTCTGCCCAAAAAATCCCTATCTAGGGTTTTCAATCCTCAGCCTCTTCCAATACTAATTTCAGAAAAAAAAAACCCAACAAATTAACGACAGCAAGACAACCCAATTTGACTCCTCTCTCCCAATTTTCAGTCAAATAACTCAAGTAAAAATCCAAAACAAATCCAAAACGGTTTTGCTTCTTACCTCCACCCAACTCTTCCGTTACTTCATCATATTCTCCGCCGAAACGAGCAGCTGAGCTTCAGAGAGACGAGCGCAACGACGGAAGATTCTCTATCGGATTCGGATCCAGATCCAAAATCAACAGATCTAAGCTGACAAATCGAGAGAGAGCGTAGAAAAAGCTTCGATTTTCCCTCAAGAGTTTGAGGTTACTTTCATGCTTTTGTTCGGACAGAGGGAGTGGCAGGAAATGTAAATAAAGTCAGTTCTGAGGGTTTTCGTTTGTCCGTATGCTCTTGAAACGTGCTGGTGAGTACAGGAAGGCTCACGTCCTCGTCTGCGCGGCAAATAGGTAAATGACGAGAGCACCCCCGACACTTCTATTCGGCTTTAAATGTCTTGATGACGGTTATTGTAGTTTAATTAATTACTCGGTTTTAATTGTCTTGATTATTGTTATTGTAGTTTAATTAATTACTGGATAAGTTCAAAGGGGATTTGACATTAAAAAAAATCAATGGGGATTATTGTCTTTTGAAGTTTTAAGTGAATCTAATACTTTTTCTCCTAACTAAAAAAGCAAAACCTTAAAATCAATATTCTTGCTACGGTGGATGTTATTTTTGCTATGATTCAAATAAATTAAATTACTATTTATACTATAGTAACATTTAAAACTTATTCTCGTTATAGTATGATTCAGATTATTTGAATTACTGCTCATACTAAAGTAACATTTTTGACCTTGGACCGGTTGTTGTCGTTGAACTGAAATTTTCCCCACCAGCACTATTTATGCTACAGTATGTTTTCAAAATCTTAAACGTATATGCTACATTAATTTTTTTGGCATTTATCCATTGTTCAAGCTGAAGTAACATTTTTCAACCTTAAAAATATTATTTTTACCTTTTTTTTCCTTGCAGGTGATGAACTTAATCTTTATCACAAATATAAAGACTTTATGGCTCTATTAATAAAAATAAATAAAATTTTTAAATTTGTGTATTATTTTGTCAACTGGTTTGGAAGTTCACTCTGTAAATAGTAGTAAAACAATATCGTTGAAGTTTTTATCCCTCCTTTATACATAAAGAGAAATTGATAGTACTCTTAAATGTACATAAAATTGACATCTGTCATGTCAAAAAATTATCAAGTGGACACACCTTTTTCTATCAGAGGTATCATACGGACACCTAATCTTATATTCACTTAAGAACCTTCTTCAAATTAAATCTATCCATAATTAAAAATTCTAAATAATCAAATAATCATATTTTTTTAATTATCTTTTTGTTTACATATAAAAGAGAATTAATGGTTTGACATTAGCCATATATCTAAAAAAATGCCACAGGTACGTCCCTCATTTTTTAAGACCAATTTGTACTAAACCTCCAATAAGTTTGGGTATTTTATTACTAAACACTCAAAATTTCCGAATTTCACTAAATAACAATCATTTCTTTATATATAAAAAGAGATTGGTAGCTTCATTATTCTTACATATCAGAACATTATCGTGTAGCACTTCTTAATTTTTTAAAGCTTAATTTTCACTAAACCTCCAATATGTTTGGTCGCTTTGTACTAAGCCTCAAAACTTTTTGAAACCCCTAATAAGTTTGGAACTCTCAGAAAACCTCCAAAAAAATTTATGTTTTACTGATAACCTGCATAATGGTGTTATCCCATAATTGTACATTAACGAATATTGTCTCTCAAAATCAATGTGTACTTCTCAAAAATCAATGACATATGGACATCTAATCTTACATTCACTTATGAATATTCATCAAATTAGATCAATCCAAGTAGAATATTCTAATTATAATCAAATACTTAGCAATCCTAATCAAATCATAACTTTCCATAGCTAGAGAATAAAAATTTTTAATTCTCTTCTTCTTTTCATGTACAAGAAAATTAGTGGTTTAATATTAACCATATATATTAAAAAAATTCCACATGTCCATCCCTAAATTTTTGAGACTAAAATTTACTAAACCTCCAACAAGTTTGGGTATTTTATTACTAAACCCCCAAAATTTTTTAAATTCACTAAATAATTAACAATATTTTCTTTATGTATAAAAAGAAATAGGTAGTTTATTATTAGTCGTACATATCAAAACATTGTCAAATGGGCATTCTTAAATTTTAAAGCTTAAATAACACTAAACCTCCAATATGTTTAGTCGTTTTGTACTAAGCCCCAAAACTTTTTGAAACACCCAATAAGTTCGCAACTCTCAGAAAAATGCCATAATATTTTGATATTTTGTAGCTAACCTACATAATGATGTTACCTCATAATTGTTCATTGACTAACATTATTTCTCAAAATCAATGTGTACTTCTCAAATCATTCCTATTTGCAGAATAACCCATAAAATTACAAACAATCGTTGAAAAATCTAAAAATTATAAATATTCCCATTAAAATATAAAATTAGAAATGATCCCTAAAGACCTGATAATTACAAAAAACTCCTTTAAGTTCAAAAAATTATAAATGACTCCCTAAAAATTGAAAACTACAAACAAATCCGTTAAAAAATATGAAAAATACAAAAAGTACCCTTATAATTCTAAAAATTAGAAACAACCCCCAAAATCCTAAAACTGTAAAAAACCTTTGAAAAATATAAATATTGCAAGAAGACCCTAAAATTTCCAAAAGTACAAAAACTATCTAAAAAGTTTGAATATTACAAATAGCTCACTATAAAAG